TGCTCCTGATGATCTGTCGCCATTGCCCATCGTGCTTGCATCCATACACGCAGTCCTTCAAGAATGCCAAGCACCTCCGCTCGGCCTCCATCCTGCAGCCTTGCCAGCTGACATCCGTGGACCCCTCGGCCCACCCGCCGCCGCAGCGCTCACGAAAAGAGGAGTGACTCTTGAGATCGCGCAAAAGCGACAACGACTTGCCGTCGAAGCCCTTGTCGCTGCACCACCTATCCACGAAGTAGTCCCGCATCTGCAGCTTGCAGAGGAACATATCCAGCATGCCGGCTGGACCTCCACCCGATTTGTTCGCGGTCATCAGGCGGCTGCCGAACTCGTTGTTCGAGGTTCCAGACAGCAAGTAATCCTGCACACAGCGCAGAATCCAGAGCCTCTCATCCAGGGTCTTGCCTTTGATGGAAATCGCCTCCAGATTCTTGATGCTGTTGAGGCAGCTGTTCTTGCTGTAGCGGTTTTGCAGGTCCATGATGATCTCATAGAGCTCCGGCTCTTTGAGCAGCCTGTCATAGACCTTCATCCCGGCCTCGATCCAAGAGAACCCCACTTTCTCTTGCAAGTCTGAGCCCGTATGTCTGACCTTTGCGGTCCAGAGGTCGGCAAGCTCCGAAAGGGTGAGCTTCTTGTTGTGCTCCTTCGTGTAGTAGCTCCTGAACGCGGCGATTTCAAAGATAAGCTGAACCGTCGAGCGCACACACGCGTCATACGTTCCGATGTTCGCGTTCCTGTCATTGATGCTGTGGAACAGAGCATCGTCCATGGAATCGAAGACTTGAATCTTGCATGACACAGTCAAGAGGGTCGTTCTCCAACACCTTAAAGGTTCGCTTAAGGACATGTTGAGAAGCAGCTGTGTAATCACGTGTAGAATCTTCTGCTAATCTGCGAACACGCTGCTCCAGCTCGTGCTGTTCCGCACCGGCCTTGATCCTGTCTCCAATATGGATGAGGAGACTGTGGTCGAACTCCTCGGGGCTGAGTCTCATCAGGTTGCCAATCTGGGACTTGAAGTCGGAGGCACTGTGGGAGCCCCTGAGCAACCCGATGCAAAGCTCTCCCGGAAACTTGGTTGGCCCTGCAGCCCAGTGCGTCTGGATCATGACATTGATGGCACCTTCCGTGATCGGAACTCCCGGGGTGATGAGGCGGCGCACGGCGCACCACATCAGGTTCACTGCTGCAGTGTAAGACTTGCAACCAGCCATCGCTGCATCGTGCTCGGCAGCCTTCCAGACCGCCTGCGACGAAAGCAATGCAACCACAAAAAGCACAAGCAAGGAAAAGGCACAAAGCTTTCAGGCTGCTCAAAAACAGCGACCCTGCTGAGGTGAGGGGGCCCAAATGACCCTATCCTCTCAGCAACCCTTGGCGGGAGGGGTTGATGAGAGGATAGGGCCGGGTCAAGACCGACCCTGCTGAGCTGATAGGGTCATTTGGACCCTATCAGCTCAGCAGGGTCTGTCTTGACCCGGCCCTATCCTCTCAGCAACCCCTCC